CTAGGACATTTTTTTTTCTTTCCAGTCCCAAACTGTGGAAACATCTTTCACTTGTTCTGCAGCTGAAACTCCAATGGAGGTCAAGAAATTGCCTTTGTATGTCTTCCCTGTGCATGTATTTATTTCTCGTCTTGCCTAGTTAGCTTAAAGGCTCTTCTGTGTTGTAAGCCTCATAGATGCCAGCAGTCTTGACAGCCATTACATCATGTTGACAGCAGTGACCTACTGTAAAGACAGCCTTTTCCAACATCTGTCCTACCTACTTATACTCTTGAATAAAATTCAAATGATTTTTTTTTACTTCTTAATCTCTAAAAAGTTGAACTCTCTTATCATCAGATTTTTTTAATAAGGTTATATAAATATTCAATTAGGTAATTGAGTTTGGGGGTCCTTTCAATGATTCAGTTTGAATTTCTAAACAAAAACTCCAAATCCTTTGGAAAAAATGTTTCCAAATTTATTTGGATAATTTTGACCCAATCCAGTGATTCAACAGCGTTTTGCACACATACATAAACATAATTTAGAAGAGCAAATTGATTTGATTTACATTTTCCAAATAAATTCAAAATCTGAGCTGAGTAGTATTTTTCCAAATAAATCAGAAAGCCCATCCATTAAATCACATTCCCTTAGTAATTTAGCTTTCAAAATCCTACTTTTCACCTGCCCCTTCACCAATAAACTCATAAAAATGTCCCCTTTATCTCTAATCTCTTTTGATGGGGTCTCTTCCTGTAAACTAATCTTATTTTATTCCTAGACTTTGGAATGCTTTCCCTTCTTTGGCTGGATCATTTCTGAATTGCATTGATATCATGATCATCGTCATCATCATCATCATGAATTATTTTCTCAGAAACATGCTTTTGGTTGCAATCTCAATGTAGATAAAGCAATTTCATCATCAGGTTACCTCCCAGATATTTTGATGTGAAAATCTTTTGTTGAGTAAATCATGTTTGATGGAAAAGAAGAACTGGAAATTTCTTTCTTGACAACCTGTAGTCTGTTGCTCCACACCCCAGCTTAGAACTTCATATTACAACCTTCCAAACCTAGTTACAAAAGTCAGTGGCACACATGTTGTCAGTCCTTCAAGGTGGACCAGACAAGAAACACCAAACATGAATACTAATGTTACCTTTATTGTAAAGTTCAGTTACAGAAACTTGCATTTGAAAATGCATTTCTTCTCCCCATACCTCACCTTCCTAGTCCAAAAAACTAGGAGAGTTCTTTCCAAGAGGTTTGCCACTTCCCCCCTCTCCTTCCTTCTGTGGGTTAAGCTGCATTTTTTCCTAGCCAATCACTAGTCTGCAGTTCCTCCTCCCCCTCCTCCTCCTGTTTCTCAAGGAAATTCTCACAGACCATTACAGTTTTGCAAAACACAAAATTTATAGCACGTATCTAAAAATAGTTTTATTTTAAAAATAACTCACTCCGTATCTAAGAATTGCCAAAAATTTAGGGGAAAGGGGGGGAAATATTCCTGCTCGTATGTATGATACAGGTTTTATTTATTTTATTTCATTTTATTTATTTTATTTGTCAATTGCTTACAAGATAATAGGTATAAGTATAAACATGAGTAAGAATACAGGAAATAGGTACGAATAAATGGGGACAGTAGGCATGATTGTGCACTTATGTATGTCCCTTACAGATCTCTTAGGAATGGGGTGAGGTCAATAGTGGATAGTTTAAGGTTAAAGGAGTGGAGGTTAGAGGATGTAACAACAGAGTCAGGTAGTGCATTCCAGGCATTGATCACTCTGTTGCTGAAGTTGTACTTTCTGCAATCAAGTTTGGAGCAGTTTACATTGATTTTGTATCTGTTGTGTGCTCTTGTATTGTTGTGGTTGAAGCTGAAGTAGTCATTGACTGGTAGGACATTGTAGCAGATAATTTTGTGAACTACGCTTAAGTCCAAATTAAAGTGGCATAGTTCAAGGATGTCCAAGCCCAAAATTTCAAGCCTGGTGATATAAGGTATTCTGTTGCAAACAGAGGAGTGTAGTACTCTTCTCATGAAATACTTCTGGACTCACTCAATTATATTAATGTCTGATATATAGTGCAGATTCCAGACAGATGAGCTGTATTCAAGTATTGGTCTAGCAAAGGTTTTGTAGGCCCTAGTTAGCAATTTAATATTTCCAGAGGAGAAGCTTCGTAAGATTAGATTTACAACTCTTAATGCCTTTTTGGCAATGCTGTTACAGTGAGCTCTGGCACTTAGGTCATTTGATATGAGTACTCCAAGGTCCTTGACAGAGTGAGGGTCATCAACGAGGTCATATTCGCCTAGCTTGTATTTGGTGCACTGATTTTTTTACCAATGTGTAGGACAGAGCATTTGTTGGTCAAGATTTGGAGTTGCCAATTGTTTGATCATTCAGACACATAATCGAGGTCGCTTTGAAGGATAGTAGCATTGTCAGTGGTGTTGAATAGTTTTACGTCATCCGCGAAGAGGACGCAGTTGTTTATAAGGTGATCCAAAGGTCATTTAAATCGAGTGTAAAGAGTATGGGTCCTAGAATGCTGCCTTGGGGGACATCGCTGTTAACTGGAGCAGGGTTTGATATAGCGCTCCCTATTTTTACTATTTGTTGCCTGTTTGCCTGTTATGAAGGGATCCGGAAATGCCGTAAGAGTTTAGTTTTAACAGTAGTTTCATGTACCACCGAATCAAAGGCTTTGCAGAAGTCTATGTAAATTGCATCTATTGCTTTATGGGTTTGCCCATATTGCATCATTGCCTCCCCAATTCAGTTTTTTTTATTAAAAAACATATACCCCAAAAAGTTTTTAAAGTGATCTAAGCTATGCTTCCTTCACAACCCACTTGTCAAGGCAGAAGCACCTTAAAAATCTGCAAATCGTTGACACGTTCTGATTTTCAAAAGATTCTGTCAAGTCTATTGGCATTAAGATGAGATTTTACTCATCTACAATATAGTCCATTCAGAGAACTGCTTAGAAGTAGTGGGCCAAAACTGGTTGGATTAAATTGCAGGATGCAAGGAAGTTCTTGGATGGAAAAACAAAATGCAGGCACTTTTTTCTGCCTCACCATTGAGAGAAAATATCTTTTCCTGGGCTGATTTGTTGATATTTCCATGCCGAGTGGGTCACTGCAATGTCAGAACTTACTGGCAACTGCATCCTGTCTATGGAACAGAATGTAGATATATTTGGTCTGGGGTAAAGGGGGAGGTCAGGTTAAAAGTTTGGCAAGCAAACCACTGAGCTCCATTTCCTCTCTGAGCAACTGAAACTGAGCCTTGAGAATTCTTGCCTGGCTCTTTTCCCCTCACAGCTCCCTGCTGCTGGTTTCTGGCCATAATGCTCCTGTCTTCCCATGGTATGTTGCTGTTTCCTAGGAGACGGCATGCTGCTGACCCCACACCTCATCTCTGATGCCCGTGTGACATCACCAGGTCAGCACAATCATAAAACATGACAACTGAGGTTCTGAAGCAATGGCTTGACTCATTGCAGTATTAGCAAATCCTAAAGGACATGTGAACTGGACATGTGCACTGTGGCTTGCTCTTTCATTAAAGCTGTTTTCAAGAGAGCCAGACATAGTGTCACTGAAGGCAGACATTCTAACAAAATAGGAAAAGAAAGGAAAACAGACGCCAGAAGTGAGGACAGGAAAGGGTTTCATACGGATGAGAACTGAGCTGACTTCAAGAATCAAGCAAGTTTTGCTTCTTGACACAACCTGACTCTTCACTTGCACTGTGACACCAAATGGGTCTCAAAATATGTGTCATCCTATTAACTTCTGCCCCGACTACTCAATTTCATGAGAAAAACCTTTGAAGCAAATCACAGTACTAACAGCATTGTGCTTTCTTCGTAGAATCCTCCATTAAAAAAGGAAGGATCCAAAAGAGGAAAGATTCTAGGCAGCAGCGTAGAACTTAATCCCCATTAGGGACGTAAGAAAAATTCAAGTGTAAATTGGAGTAACTTGGCATAACCTACCAAAATATATTCCAATTGCTCTACTGCAGCAGCAAATTAACTTGTCTGTGTCTATCATTTCTTTTTAAAAAATACCTACCCAAATGCTTTGAAAAAAGAAGGCTTCAGAAAAAATTGGAGTTTCATACAAAAAGCTTTTTTTTTTTTTTTACAAAACTGAGTATTAGAGAAATCTAGATGAAAAACATATTCAAAAATGTATCGAATGGGGTGAAGATGTCATTGACTTATTTTTTAAAATTGAAATGCTATCTTATCATGAAGAACTCCCATAATTTAATAATAAAATAAAATCATAGAAAATAATACAGGTAGCCTTTGACTTACGACCGCAATTGAGCCCAGAATTAATGTTGCTAAGTGAGAAATTTGTTAAGTGAGTTTTGCCCCATTTTAAGACTTTTCTTGCCACATTTGTTAAGTGAATCTTTTAAGGTAAAATGTCAAACTGCTTTATTACATAAGAAAACATTGATATTGCCGTCCCTCATGTTAGGCATACAAGTTCCATGATGTATCACTGCACATTCCCCTCCCACCAGGTATAAAAAGTACTTATTTTTTGGTTTTGAGCTCTCTCTCTCGTCTCCCCCCTGGAAGAATGATGTACCTAAGAGAGAACATAGATATAATGTAAGTTTACATTTCTACAGTAAAAGAATCACTCTGACCATGAACATTTTTTTAAAGTTAATTTTGGCTAAATCCATTAAAGGTTATTAACAAATTGGTAGCAGAGGATGGTTGCCAAATTAACTTGAACAAAACATGTCAGGATAAAAAAAAAATCATCAGAAAAATCCAGAATTAATACGAGAGCCTTCACCAGACAAATGGCAGCTCAACTGACACCAATGGGAGCAATAATAGGAACTGCTTTGGATGAAGACCCACAACTAAATGCATCTACACCATTCACACTACCCAGGAATGAAACCCAGGAGAAAGACAAAATAACTGACAAAAATTAAGATTTAAAATCAACCTTACTCAGAATCATCGAAATATCAAGAAGCAGCAAAGACCCGATCACAGAATTAAGAGCACTCTTTCAAAATACAGACAAATCTTGAACTGAAGAAAGGCAAACAGAGAAAGAAAATAAAACTGCGAGCGCTGAACTGGTAAGTCCTTTACAATCTTGTTTAAACTTTCTGGAGGCAGGAAAATATGCTGAGACGCCATTTTCAGACCTACACAGCTCAAAGCCACAGCTAATAAAAATGGCCGACCAACGACCAATCACTGCGGGAGTTTTGAAATGGAAGGCGGGGAAAAAGGAAAAAGATAACCCTGAAAAGAACGACAAAGGGAGAAACAGGCAGATTGATCGCGAGTCTAATGAAATAGTTTGTGAAGATGGCTGGTCAGTTCTTCACTTGACAAGACCAACAACACCAGGTAACAGAGAACCCAAGACTAACACCCAAAATAAAAGTGTCAACAAGAACTCTCCCTCAGAACAGGAAATCTCAAGAGTGATCAAAACACTCACAGCAGCATTCGGGGCTGCATTCACACCCCCAACTCCAAGACAATCACAGACAACGAACAACGAACTCCCGGCAGCCACATCATCTCCACACGAACCAGCAACCACAGGCAGTCTCCCAGCACCTTCAGTCAACATTCCAAAAGCTCCAGAAGCGGCTGCAGTGATCACAGAAATCACGTTCCCCCTCAATGTATCTCCAGCAGTTATCTCTGATCTCCAAGCAACCCAGAAAGATTTCACAGCTCCATCTTCACTCCCGATGGCCTCACTGGCTTCTGCAGTGGTCCTAGTGTCTCCAGGGTACATGCTAGCACCACCAATAGCTCAAACCTCCCAAGGGGGATTCCCAATGCTAGGAAACCCCTTCCTGAATCCAGCACAGCTTCAGGATGCTACAGTTCCCCAGTCAGGAATTAAGAACGAAACCACAGCTCCAATGCAATTTTTTAACCCTTCACTTTCTGCAGCAGCTCTTCAGGGAACATCCACCACAGGAAACCAACATAAAATGAACATGGCACAAAATCAGAACATCATGCATATACAGTCAGCTCCAGTCACCTTGCAAAAAAAAGGGACAATACGTTTTTAGAACTTAACAGCATGCATACCAATGCCCTTCTGCCAATATGCACACATTCCAGAACATCAGCAACAATTTTTGAACACCAATCCAGTCCAACACAACATCCTACCTAATGATTTCCCCAAGCTATATGCAACAGGTAATAATCTAATGCAGTGATCCCCAACCTTTTCGACGCCGCGGCCCGGTTCCGGCATCAGCTGGGCGCCGCGGCCCGGTACCGGCGTCAACTGGGCGCCGCCATCTTTTTTTGACGAAAAAGTGTTTCCGGTGACATCACCGGAAGCACTTTTTCGTCAAAAAAGATGGCGGCGCCAGCGCTTCCGGTGAGCTTTTTCGGGTAGAAATGGCTTTCTACCCGGAAAA